ATGGTATAAAACAAATGGTAAACACCACAGCGTACACTATTGAGTTATGATGCACTTGGGAGGTTTGCTAAGCACTCAAAAAGCTAGAGTCGCGCTCGGCTATCGACTCGAGCGACTCTTAGGCCTCTTTCGTGCTTAGCAACCTCCCGCGTGCATCCATAACTCTGTAGTGTACGCTGTGGTGTTTACCATTTGTTAACTGTGTTTAAGTAATTCAGTTTTAACCAAAACAGAAGAAATATTTCCAAAAGAGTAAGAGATGAACAATTTAATAAACAGCTTGGATGTAACTGATCGAAAGATCTTTCTACTACAAGAACACTGTCTGGTGTCATCCAACCTTTAATTCCCAAAGTCTATTCAAAGAATACTCGATGATCACTCACTTTATTCTTCTTTAGTTTTATTCATAAACGACTATCACCTCGCGATCGTGACTGATTGAGAATAATGGCAATTAACCTCCACCTAACTTTTAACACTCTTGGTATGAGGGGCCATTGAAACGCGATGGGTGTAGGGGGAGGGGAGGGGGAAGATGGTTTGTCACAAGCAGGAACAGGAAGACCCAGTCCCTAAATACTTATGTCCGAAGTAATAAACTTTAACGAGTTGCGTTTGGTTTGAGGGGAAGAAGGCTCTATAAATTGAGCTATAAAGGAAGATTCTGGCGAATGAATTGAAAAATAAATTTTCCTCTTTTTCTATGAGTTTTCCCATACTGCCTTATGTTGGTTTAATTAAAGATCACCTCCGTAACTAAAGCAATGAGATATTACTACTGTGAGTCACGAATACAACAGTGTTTTAGTCTTGGGGATATTACATACATACATAGGTTACTTAACCACTCCCCATAGGGGCTTTTCAGAGCCAACACCCACCCATCCCACNATAATGTTAAATTTGGGAACTGTTTACCACCTCCATCACTAATGAGACTACTGTTTTCAGTTGGACAAATCCCTCCCATACGGTAGGTATTTTCCTCCTCTACTCCAATTGTAAACCATGGACCGTTCCCTTTCCTATCTAAAACTATTTTTTTCTTTTCCCTTTAGAGGCTCGGGTTTGTCAGCCTGATTTAATATAACTGCTAAAGGAGTACGCGAGAAGTTCTTGAGTGATTTGCGAATGTATCTGGTGTCCGTTTTATCTGAGTTGAAGAGCATTCGATGTGTTGTGGTTCAGAGACTCACCAAGCTGCCGACAGTTCCGAAGAGTTGTTGCGTATACCGAGTTTCCTTTCTTTACAGCGACTGCTTCATTCCCTTCAAAAAGTACAGATATTTCCTAGTTTGAAAGTCTCTTTGTTCGTCTTGGTATCCGAAAAAGTAATCATGAATGTCCACACCAGTTGCGTTGAAGTCCACCATTGTAGATCCAGCAGCTTCAATGTACAATGTTCCTCCCTTGTGATCGCACGAACTGTTGTAAAAAGATAAGAAAGAATTCTTTCGAAAAATTATTTTAGAATAGCCGCGCATTGCAATGGCCCCTCCTCTGTAACCCTTATTATAACATAACCAAAGTAAAGCGCGCGCTCTGATTGGTCAGTTTGGCGTCCCCCATTTGCCCATATATGGGTGTACGCTACTGACGTGAGCAAATGCAAAGACTATTTTTCCGCGCGCGCTTGTTTTTTTTGGTCGCGTAAGATTTGTTAAGTAAAAGGGAACTCTTTAGCTACAATGTATCAATGTTATGGTATAAATCAAATGGTAAACACCACAGCGTACACTATTGAGTTATGGATGCACTTGGGAGGTTTGCTGAGCACTCAAGAAGCTAGAGTCGCTCTCGGATATCGCCTCGAGCGACTCTTACGCTTCTTTCGTGCTTAGTAACCTCCCGCGTACATCCATAACTCAATTGTGTACGCTGTGGTGTTCACCATTTGTTAATTATTGAGAAAATCCACATGATCGTTCAATGTTCTTTGCCACTGACCCATCCAAGGACAAAGCCGAGTTCGTATTGTTTATATACAAAGTTTTCCCTTGAAAGTTAAGGGTCACTCCATCGCTGTACAACGCACGCACCTTCGCCTATCGATCGTAACACCTTCATCTAAAATGACAACTTGGTTCCCTGTAAACGTGCAGTCTTTGAAGTTGATGGAAAATGGAATTTCAGGTTCCATCTGGACTTCCTGTTTTCTGTCAAGCATAACCGCCATTGCGGATCCTACTGTTGCTAGGTTGTCACGCCAGGTACATAGGGTTGAACTTCACCATGAATGTAGTCTTCGCATTAACAGAGCCCCATATAGATCTTTCATTTAACAATTATTCCACGAGTGCGCGTTGGATATGAGATGATAGATAGCCAACGAGGCGCTACGCGCTTCGTTGGCTATAATCATCTCATATCCAACAAGCGCGAGTGGAATAATTGTTTTATTGAAAACGTCAAATTAAATTATTAAATTTTATTAAATTTCAAGCTGACACGTACGCTTGCGATATTTGTAGATTATGGTATATTGGCTGATATACCTTAATGGCTAAGCCAATAAAAAGTCTTGAATTGCATTATCCAATGGTCTAGTTAAGTTTTAGTAAATAGTGATATACCACTGCCCCAAAGGGCTCTGTTGTTTGTGAACGTACAGTTTTAGTCAAAGATAAATGTATTCATAGTTCAACTGCAGCCCGTGTTTGCAAATTGCCACTTCGAACTCCCTCGCCGGCGAGTTTCCCACAATTCTCCGAAATTAATTGTGCTTTATCATGAAATGGTTCCTTTTCACCTCATCTCTTATATCGATGTTTAGAGCTCCTCCTCATAGAGACTCATTGCTATTAAAAGAGCAAAAGTGAATTCGAATTTGGAAATCGCTGGCAGTGCCCTTAAAATTGATCGCCAAACCTGCACCTAAGCTAAATTCTGATAGATCGGGATCCTTCTTTTGATCGTATATCTTACTCATATCCCATCCAAACCCTTTATTTCCGAGTAAAGTGCAATGCGAGAAGATCTTGCTGTTGTTGTGTTGGAACGAGTCGTGTAAGCTTGGTGTGACATTATAACCATAGTCTCCGTGCTTGCTGAGAGTTAAAATAACCCCACCTCCCGAAAGCACATATCCATCCTCAATGAATCGTCGTGGCGGCCCGTTTGAGTTGTTAGAGTTTGCCCCTTTATTGTCGGCTAATATGCAGTTCGTTAAGTTCAAAACGCCTCCAACATTAAAGAAGTTTATTCCAACCCCTGGCGAGTTTGACATCTCAACATTGGTGAATCGCGCGTTTCTACAATATCGAAAGTCCAATGCGGTCCTGAAAAGAACACCACTGTTACCGCGTCCTACAGGTTCCGACTTGTTTGTGTCCACGGGACTTTCTCGCCATCCGCCACATCTTTGTAGCCATATAGTTGAAAAGTAATATTTTCTCCGAGAACGAACGAAATGCTTACGTTAGGCTCGCAAGTAATTCTTACCTTGCCGTTTCCATGGCCAAAAAGAGCGAAGGTATTCACCCCTGTGAAGTTAAAGCGCTTTTCCATCGTGTAATTTCCACTTTGTACTTTCATTAATGTTGAATTAGCGCCGCCTCCATTCAAAGCTACATCAAAAGCTTGGTCGATGGACTTGCAAGGCTGACCTTGTGTACAGTTCGACGAGTCGTTACCGTACGGTGCGACGAAAATTTTTTCACTCCACGCTGCCACAGAAGGCAAAAAAATTGCCCCTGATGAGTGGGCAACCACGAAACAGGCTTGTCGGGATGAAAGCGGGTAGTTTATTTGTTTCTTTCCTCCACAAACATATACTTCGCTCTACATTAATGTATTAAGCACTGTTTTACGAATATCTACGTTCTACACTTTATTTACTTTCATATATAGTTTTATTACAATTTAGTTATCATATTTTAGTTCAATATTAAATATTAGTATCGTAGGCCTTCACAGATGAAGAGCCACACCTTTTATGTGGATATACTGTGAATAAACCGTTATTATCATTATTACTATTATTATTATTATTATTATTATAAATTCATTGATACTCTGCCTTGGGTAAACAGAACAGTTAGTAGCGGCCTTGAACATAATTGTCGATTTACCTGACTTAACACGCTGATACGAAACTTTCATTTAATAATATTAACAAAACTAATTTAAGAGGCTCTCATTCATTAGGAACAGTAGAAAATAAAACTTACATCACAGGCAATCAATTACAAAATGGGGACTTTAAAATCATAACAGGATGAAGTGTGAAAAATTAAATGTAGAATTTTTTTCATTTCAGTCTCTACTGACTCAGAATAGAAAATCAAATATTTTTTATCTGGTTATTGCGGTAAGTTAATTAAGAAAGCATCTTTAATTATAGAGGTACATTTCGTTTTCGAAGCTTTCCACGAAAGAAGATATGGATCACGGTTTTAATTCATAAATACTAGCTATTTATGTTATCATAACTGCTGTGTTATCATTACAGTTATTCTATTTGTGCCATGTAATTGCTGCGTACGTGGTGAAAATATATTTTTACTGTCGTTAAGAAGCCAAAGATATGAGCTTGTCAAGCCAGGATTTCGTGACTGAAATTTGCGTGACGGAGCCACCCATTGAATGTGCGTCGTGTGTCTAAGATATTTCTCGGAAATCTGTCTCATTTTCTTAATGCCCTTTGGATCAGTCATGTTAGGTTTGTTTTGAGTGCGTCCAAACAATGGAAATGCGTAGTTCTATAGCTTGCATTTCTTGATCTTCAGTCCTAAATTGGTCAAATGTTCGTTAGCATCGGGCAGGATTTGGAATATCTTTGCTTTACCAGGTGGACGCTAAGACTTGTGGAAATGCAAGTCAAATGTGTCTCTCGCTGGATTTCGCCATTGAGTAAACAAACCAAACGTAGGAAAAGTTGTTTATATTAACATGTAGAGAGTAACAAAAAAATACAGTGTTAGTTTACCGAAAGAGTTGTATAACGCAGACGGGAAAGCCAAAAAGCGGCCCCTTGATCATAAAATATAACGAGCACAAAAGGGAAAATATTTGTTTTAATAAAGTAGAAATTTGGTAATCGACAAAGTCACAGATCCCACATAAGGAAAAACTACCTTCAGCTGTAGAAAAAATCCTTGCTTAATCATAACCTAACCTGTTAAATGCTGGTTGAACTACTGATATGTTCCGCTAATTACAGATACAAATCAATCATCGTAATTTTTGATCGACTACACTAGAGCTTATTATGCATGTTCTGGAGAGTCTCGTCAACATATAAACAATTAATACTTAACCTCAATATAAAAGTTTATCTCTAACTGTGCCACGCATGCTTTAATAGATCGCTGATTGCAAATGAAATAATACTGATCAAGTATCAGTTTTTTTAACGTGAAATCACTATTTTAAAGAAAAACGGACTGTAAGGTTCCTAAAATAACAAAAGCATTAGTACAAAATTAAAGAGTCAAAGGTCAAACTGTTTTTGGTCCGTGATGATTGTTTTTGAACTACGTTAGAAGCTATTCAGTCCTTCTTTATTTCAAATCACTGAGACGTCAGCTTCTTCATGATTCGTAGCTAAGTACAATTCATCTCTGGCAACTAAAGGGAAACAAAAGAGGACATCAAAATTATTATCGATGGCTCAGGATGTCTTTATTATCTGTATGGAAAAAGGTTTCAGGCCTCGAAAAAACAAACCAAAATACAGCAACTACGCAAGAGTCCTACTGCGACAGCTTCCGCAGAAAGAAATCAAACAGCAAATTTCAAGCTCGATCGTCACAAAATCGAACGAAGATTCGTGCCTAGCTCAGACTTTCCGTTTGATAGGGCGATACACTGAGCCACACGGAGCTCGCCAGTGAGGTACGAGATAGCTATACTGAAGGATGGCAAAAGTACGTGTCACTTGAAGCAAAATAATGATCTTGACAATGATGTGAGAAGTCCCAATTTAATTTATGAACAATTCTTCCACCACCCTCCCAAGTAAGGTTGCACCTTAGCTGCGTAAATAAATTTATTTTCCTATGGGCTGGGAAAAGGGGCAGCGGCCGGGGGAGGGGGGCGAGTCCAATGTAAGCGAGTGAGAAAACTTTAAAGCTAAGTACGACTTGAAGTGCTCATTTTAGAATCCTATGGGACTAGTATCCTATATGTTAAGTAACGCGAGGATCACAAGCAGTAATGCCGAAAGCGCAGCGTGCAGTAACTACTGGCGAATTCTCTCTCAATCTACCTGAATCGTGCAAGTTTTCTCTTCGCCCTCATGAAAGGTGCTTTACAGCTTTCCCTTCGTCTTATATGCACTGGCGTCTAAACGTTTATTTAGTAAGATTAAGGGGCAGTAAGTAAAGCATGCGGTGTTTAAGTATCTTAGAACTTGTGACGCACCTCTGACGTACTGGAAGGCTCTAGGGCGTTGTATAAAATCTGCTACTTTGGTGAGAATCTGCATCTTCTCTGTTTCCTATAAGTGGCGTTCGCTCACTTGAAAGATCATCTCTTTCTTCGGGGCGGCGCTCAGTTAAACGGGAAGGTGGCAGAGATGATACAACCTGTACGTGTGGCTCAGGGATATGATGCGGCTTTTTCTCGCGGCTATACCGCTGTAGTAGGCGTCGTAAATAAAAGATGTATGGAAGCAAAGCCATTACCAGAGGGACGTATGCCAAAATGCTAACACACCATTGGAAACCCCTGACAGTAGTTTTGGAGACTTCTGTTCTAGTTTTAGAGACTTCTGTTTGGGGTCCTGTGTCGATGCAGAGAATACTTAAAACTGCAATGGCACTCAGCGTCATTAAGATCACAAGGTCAGACTCATTGATGTACAGGTTTTCCATTTTCTCCTCACCAGTATTTCTATGATCCCCTTCCTCTTCTTGGTGACTAGGTCTCTCTGCCTCTTCTCCTTCATTCTTAGGCGCAGTGTGATGATTTGCTACTTGTTGGGAACCTCCTGTCGAGCCTCTTCTTGAATTCTGCTCTCCTCCGGAGTTACCCTGAGTTGCCATTGTTTGTGCTTCTACCACTTCGTCGCCACCCGCACCTACACGGATTAGTTCTTGGTCAAAGGCTGGTGTTTCACTGACGCCTTCTCTTCCTTCCGTAAATTTACTTCCCCGTGGAGCCTCTTCTCCATTTCCACCACGGTGCCTCTCTGTGTAAGGCCTCATAGTTGCGACGGCAAACATAAAGAGCATGCAAAACAACTGCAACAACGAGGTTTTCAAAGTACCAGTAGGCATAAAAGTGCTTATTACCAACAGCACCAGTCGACAAACAAGGTAATAAGCCACAAAAGAGCGATATCCAGGCTTAAAACAAACATGCAAGGTTTCTAGTCGTAAGTTTGACTTATCTGGGTAGATGACAAGTCTCAACGTGAAACAAATGACGAACAGCAAAATGAAAATAGCGCCAGTTACGAACATACCGTGCCAAACGCTGTCAATGAATTCAACATTGCCATCATCAAACAACACCCACCGCTTACCAACTTGGACGAAATGCAAGAGACGCAGTGCAATGTTGGTTATGTCGACATAGCACAATACTACTATGGTGCAGTAGGCGTGGTCAAACCCATTCTCTATGCGTCTTCTGAATGAAGCAGAAAAGAACTCTAGCCAGCTCACAAGTGCGTTTCTGCAGAAACAACCATAACGACAACGCTCTCTGTCACTCATTCTATCGACTAGCCAGTCCAAGCCTCTGCTCCAAGTTTTAATCAAAACCCAGTTTAACAAAGGCAATATAAGAATTATTTCAGCGATTGGAAAGAGAGCCGATATGGCTAACTTGTCAACATTGCTCAAACCAGCAGCGAAACAAACGCCATGTCCAACATTAACTTGAATGTTAGTCAGTGCAATAAGAAATTCAATGAAAGGATCGAAAGTAAACCCTTCTGGGGTGAGTGTTTTCATAATTTGGTATGAGTACAAACAAGCATTTAGGTGTCCCCCTGACAGATTCGGATTAACCAACAACACAAAGCAAGTAACTGCAATAAGGGCCATTACATAGACAATAATCATCCATAGCCATCGATTGGTGCAACCGGGTAAACACCGTTCGCTTCCAAACATGACACTGTAATCAGTCTTGCATTTGCCACAAAGTACGCTCGTCTGATTTCTGCCTTTTTTGCACACTGTCCCGTTATATATATAGTCAGCTGGAGAAATGGACTTCAGAGTGGTACAGTATCCATCTGGGCAGAGATGTGTTGTGAATTCACCATGTACTTTCCCTGCCCAATAGCCATATTTCAAGTAAAAAGTCTTTTTATGTAAGTCACAGCCCGCTATTCCAGAGGAGTTCGTCATACAAACACAACTCCATAGGGTTTTCTCATAATAAAAGCCAGGGTAGCAGTCCCGCAAAAACACGTTTGCTATTTTATGCTGTAATAGTTCTCTTCCCATGTACCGCAGAACAACCGTGAACACACTCCCGCTCTTTCCAGCCAGACTTAGAGAAGATATATTTCCGTCAGCCAGGAAGACCGTAGAGGTTGTGCCAAGTTTAACTGGTGTTGCATTTGGAGGAATTTCGATATCAATGTCCACAATTCCAACGACGGTGTTGTTTATTTCGTCCACTAACTCAACCGTTGCGTTGAACACTTCTCCTGGAGCAACTTCCCAATCTGCTCGATTGAAATGAATATTAACAGCATCAGTTGCAACTTCTTTCTTTCTCGAGGAATTCGTACCATTTAAAGTTTTGAAATGGATGAATTTCCATTTCAGCACTGTGTTGTTGTTCCGAGACTCACCAGGCTGTCGACAGTTCCGAAGAGTTGTTGCATATACTGAGTTTCCTTTTTTATCATCAACTGCTTCATTTCCTTTAAAAAGTACATTTGTTTCCCAGTTTTGAAAGTCGTCTTTGCCTTCATATCCGAAAAAGCAATTATGAAAGTTCACACCAGTTGCGTTAAAGGCCACCATTGGAGATCCAGGAGTTTCAATGTACAATGCTCCTCCCTTGTGTTCGCAGGAATTATTGTAAAAAGATAAGTTTGAATTCTTCCGGAAAATTATTTTAGAATAGCCGCGCATTGCTATGGCCCCTCCTCTGTAACCTTTATTATTTACAAAATCCACATGATCGTTTATCTTTATCCTCGAACCATCCAAGGACAATGCCGTGTTTGTGTTGTTTTTGAACGAGGTTTTTCCTGTAAAGTTAAGGGTTACTCCATCGCTGTACAACGCACCTTCTCCTATCATAACACCTTCATCTAGAATGACAACTTGGTTTCCAGTAAACGTGCAGTCTTTGAAGCTGATCGAAAATGGAGTTCCCGATTCAGTCTGGTCTTCTTGATCAAACATGACCGCTAATGCGGATCCTACTGTTCCTCGGTTGTCACGCCAGATACTAAGGTTGAACTTCGCCATGACTTGAGTCTTGGCAGAACTCGAAATAGGACTTCCATACAATGACATACCACCACCCCAAATGGCTCTGTTGTTTGTGAATGTACAGTTATCAAAGATAAACGTATTAATCCATACAGCCCGTGTTTGTAAATTGCCAATCCGAACTCCTCCGCCTTCTAGTGTACCAGAATTGTTACGAAATAAAGTGCTGTTTATCATGAAATGGTTCCTTTCCACCTCATCTCTGATTTCGATGTTTAGAGCTCCTCCCCATATAGCCTTATTCCCAATAAATGAGCAAAACTGTATTTGAATTTGGCAGTCGCTGGCATTGCCTTTAAAATTGATCGCCAAACCTGCACCTAAGCTAAATTCTGATCGACCGGGATCCTTCTTTTGATCGTATTTCTCACTTACATCCCATCCAAATGCTTCATTTCCGAGAAAAGTGCAGTTCGAGAAGATGTAGCTGTTGTTGTGTTGGAACGAGTCGTGTTTGCTTTGACTGACATTATAACCATATTCTCCGTACTTGCTGAGAGTTAAGATAACTCCACCTCCTGAAAGCACATATCCATCTTTGATGACATCAGAGTTATTAGAGGGTAATCCTTGCAGCGACCCGTTTGATTTGTTAGAGTTTGCCCCTTTATTGTCGACTAATATGCAGTTCGTTAAGTTCAAAACGCCTCCAACATTAAAGAAGTTTATTCCAACCCCTGGCGAGTTTGATACATTAACATTGGTGAATCGCAAGTTTCTACAATATCGAAAGTCCAATACGGTCCTGAAGAGAACACCTCGGTTACCCTTGGGTCCTAGAGGAGCCGAATTGTTTGCTCCCACGGGACTTTCTCGCCATCCGCCACATCTTTGTAGCTGTATTCTTTCGAAAGTAATATTTTCACAAAGAACGAACGAAATGCCTACATTTGGCTCGCAAGTAATTCTTACCTTGCCGTCCCCAGGGCCAACAAGAGCGAAGGTATCCACGTTTGTGAAGTGGGAGCTGTTTTCCAAGGTGTAATTGCCGCTTTCTACTTTGATTAATGTTGAATTGGCACCGCTTCCTTTAAAAGCTACGTCGAAAGCGCGGTCAATTGACTTGCAAGGCTGATCTTGTTTACAGTTCGACGAGTCGTTACCATTCGGTGCGACGAAAATTGTCTTACTCCACAACGCTGCCACAGAAGGCAAGAGAATAAAGAAACAGAGAAACAGAGAACTCATTATGCTTAAGGAACCCCTGATTTCCCTCTCTTTCTCAGCAGCTGAATGCAAATGAAGATATAAATGCTACACGAACTTTGCACCATCAGTTCTAGGAAAGATGTCTAGACAGCCGGGAGGTGGGGCGTAAAAGGGTCAAGTCACTGTTTCGCCAAAACGTTTCACATCCGGCAGTTTTGTAACCCGTTCTAATTTTTCCAGCGTTGTTCCCTATTCTAATATTTCTGCTTCCTTGGTGTTCAAATGCCCCCATGATCCAAGATTTAATAAAGGTTCCTCTGTTATAACTGAACAACTTTCTAGCATACAACTACGTAGCTCAAGTATTGTGAAAATCGATCTCTTTTCCATCATGATGTTAGGGCTGTCATAGTAGGGCCGGAAGTCGCAATGCTCTTTAGGGACCTTAAGCAAACCACGACGGCGACGGCAACGGAAACGCGAAAAAACAAAAGATCTAATTGGAAGAACAATAGCCCAGCACGTGCGTTTTAAAACTTTGTTCATTTTTTAGCCACCCTTTGCAAAACAACAACGTGAAGTCACCGAAATTTGCGTCGTCTGCGAACCGAAACCGCGACGGCAAACTATTTTAATTTCCATTTGGAACTCAACGCTACTTTTATACGTTATGTTGAGGTTGAAGTCTGGCGCCCCATGAGACGGTAAACACATGCAGTCATTTTCGAAATTCTAGCTAAAAGTAAAAATTCATTTTTTAATCGACGTCTTCCGTGACGTTGCCGTCCTGACTGCTTAAGGTCCTTATTACCCAGAAAGAAACGCGGGATTTGCAGGGGCAAGTGAAAGTAGAAATGACAGGTTGAAATCCTGCGTCATTTACTGTCATATAAATTTTCCTTGTTACTTAATTTTCTTATCGTATGCATTTAATGGGGTTTTTAAGATCCCATTAAAAAATCTGTCAAGTAGAATGTTTGGTTGGCTGCGACATCTTTGCGGTGACAAGCCCTCATTTCTCGGTAATGCATGTTGTTCACAACGCTTGATCTTTGTATGTGGTCCAAAGTGACATAGATTTTTCGTTAGATAGTGATGTGCTACGTTTAATTGATTTTGTTGAGAAATTTATTGTCACTGTATTAGTGGGTTAATCTTTTAAAACCTCCATGATATGAACAGCTTCCGGTCCCCCCAGCTCATTCTAAGTAACTAACTTAGCTCTTGTGTATCTCCGATCTTGACTGACATGACGAAGGTCGATAAATTATGTAAAACACTCAAAAGCCTATCGCGTTACTTTTCCCCAGAGTCGTGGTTAATCTGTAGAGGGCAATAAACTTCAAATGATTTGAAAAAAATGAAAAATTGGAATAAGGAAAATACTTCTTCTCATGAATTCTGCTTGAAACAAACCACTCAAACAAATCCATACATACTCTGAGTTGGGTACATAGGACAGTTAATGATGGCTTTGAACATAATTGTAAATTTAACTTACATGCTAATATGAAACCTATATGTAATTCTCTTGACAAGACTTATTAAAGAGGCGCTTAGCAGTTAAAGATAAAACTTACATCAGAGGAGAACAGTTGTAAACCCTGACTTCAAAATCAAAACTGGATTAAATCGATTAATTGTGAAACGAAAATTCATTATGGAATGCATTCATTTCTCTAATGACTCAGAAAACGAAATCAACTTTTTCATTTTGTAAACGAAATATATCAATTTAGAAAGTTTCTTCAAATAGAGAGGTACTTTGGTTTCCAAGCTTTCCGTGAAAGACAACAAGAGTCACGATTTAAATTCATTAATACTAGCTATTTATATTCTCATATCTTCTATATTATCGATCCAGTTATTCTATTTGTGCCATGCAATTGCTATCATTTATGGTGCAAATAATTTTTTATCGCTGTTAAAACGATGTTAATCGACCATAAAGGAGAGCTTGTCGGACCAGGATCTTTTAGCCTAAGTTTGCGTGACGGGGCTACCCCGTGTCATTCAATATTTCTCAGAAATCTGTCTAATTTACTTGATGCCCTTTGAATTAATTAGGCTAGTTGTGTTGTGGGTGCGTCCAAACAATGGAAACGCTAAGTTCTTGCTTGCATTTCTTGATCTTGAGTCTTATAACGGTTCAATGTTCGATGGCATCGAACAGGATTAGAAATATCTTTGTTTCACCCAGAGGCCACAACGCTAAATCTTGTGGGAATGCAAGTGAACCTTGTCTCTCGCTGGATTTCGCCATCTCTATCGCACGTGAAAGCGGAGAAAACTCAACACAGATAACAGCGGCAGAAGGGAACTACACGCTGAATGAAAGCTACACATTTACAAATGTGGAGAACTTCGGTCTGGTAGGGCAAGGTTCGACTCCAAAGGATGTAAAAATCATTTGCAAATCGAATGTGAGCCTATCTTTTGTTCTGAGCGAAAGTATATTTTTCGAGGGATTCATCTTACAGAATTGTGGCGGATGGAAAAAGAGCTCGGTTTATGCCAAGAAGCCCTATCGCAGACTCAATGGAGCTAATTTTAAAACAGCCCTTGATTTTAGATATTGCAAGAACATACGCTTCTACGGCGTCGAAATTTCGTCTTCATCGGGCCTCGCTGTCAACTGTTTTGACTGTGGAGGCGCAGTAAACTTCACAAATAGCGTGTTCGCGGAAAATGCTGCGCGCTCTGGTGTCGAAGACAAATTCATTGGAAATCAAAATGAATATTACGTGCTCTCAGGAGGAGGTGTTTATTTAGGGTTAGATCCGTACGGTAGCAATACTGTCAATGTCACGCCAGGTGAACATGATTCATTTCAACACAACAATACCTACATTTTTCGAAATTGCCGCTTTGTCGAAAACGAAGCCGTGTGGCTCAACGAAAGTAAACAAAGTGACTTTTTTAACTCATCTGAGCTTCCGTTTAGTCGAGGAGGCGGTTTGGCAATTTTCTTTCGATCGAATGCCAGTGGATGTCTAGTTGACGTAGAATCGTGTGCTTTCATCCGAAATCGCGCTGACTGGGGCGGAGGTCTTATGCTCGTAATGAAAGAAGAAAGCAGAAGGAATGTATTCGTAATGGCACACACCCTGTTCGTCAGCAATAAAGGAAATTTGGCAGGTGGAGGAATTCGAATCGGGAACTTTATCAAAGGAAGCGGACGCGGTCTCAATACCTTTTCTATCACCAACTGCTCGTTCGAGGGCAACAAGGCTATATGGGGAGGGGGCGCATCGATCTTTGGAACGACCATTCCCGACACAACCAAACATGATTTAACCCAGTTCTACTTCAACAATTGTCACTGGAGTGAGAACAACGGAACAGTTGGGGCTGCCGTGGCTTTTTTCCTCTCCAATCAGAACGAAGACCAAATCGGACCAGAAATTCCTTACCATGTAACCTTGAATTTCTCAACGTTTCAGGGTAATCGAGTGATACCTATGGAACAACTGGTGACTATCGGAGAAGGCACACTTTACAGTGTCCAAGTGCCTCTGATATTCCGAGGAAATGTGACATTCTTTAACAACACCAACTCTGCCATGGCCCTTGATGGCTCTACCATGGAAATATTCGGAAATGTATTCTTTATCAAGAACAAGGGGTTTAGAGGCGGTGCAATTGCTATGTACGGACGTTCGAGAATTGTTTTAAAGAAAAAGTCGTATCTTCTCTTTGACGATAATAAGAGTGACGACAGAGGCGGAGCTTTGTACATCTTTGCCCCTGGACCACCTCTGGTTGGTTTTTATGCAACTGGTATAAATACGCATATCTGTTTCTTCGGATACACGGATCCTCATGCAGATTACGATGACTGGGAAACAAGGGTTATCTTCGTGGGCAACAAAGCAGCGTTTGCAGGACACTCAGTCTTCGCCACAACACTAAGGAACTGTCGACGGCCCGGTGAATCTCTCGTAAACAACTCTGTTTTGCAATGGAAATTCGTGGAATTCAGGAGCGCCGATGGACAGAAAACTTCCCTAACAAAGGAGGTCACTACTGAACCAGTTAAAATAAAGTTTGACACAGACGACTGGTTGGTGGCTCCCAGTGAGGTTTTTAATGCCTCTTTGTCATTGCTTGACGAGATTGGTAACTCCGTCGTTGGTAGCGTCAGTGTAAAAGTTATTCCTCTTCAGCATGAGCACCCGGTTTCTCTGAACACCTCTTCGCCCTTATTCATTGCCAATAGAAGTATTTCCTACGTTAAACTCGCAGGGAAAGCTGATACTAATTTTTCAGTGAAACTGTGGTACATGGGGAGAGTGCTATTAACTGAGACGATCTCTAACCTAACACTGAAACCGTGTAATCCAGGATTCAAGGCAAAAGATGATCAATGTGTTTGCATGGATTCCACCGATGTTGGTGTCCACAGGTGTGAGTCGGACGGGAAGACATTTTATCTTACACATGGATACTGGGCAGGACTCGTTAAAGAAAAATTTAAGACTCATTTTTGCCCAACTGGATACTGTAACATAACTGGGCAGTACACCGTTGAACAGAAGTATGATTCCGGGAACCTTTGTAGCAAGAATAGAAATCAGACGAGCGTGCTTTGTGGCAAGTGTAACGCGAGCTATAGCGTGCTCTTTGGAGGGGAAGACTGTTCTAACACATGTACGAACTGGTATTTGTTACTGCTGATTGTGTACGGAGTGATCTTGTTGCTTGTCGTCATGGGTGTCATGTTGATCAACCTGGATTTCTTCACTGGGTATTTGAACGCATGGGTGTATTCCTACCAAGTCATGAAAGTTATCACCCCTGGTGGCTTCCAGTTCGACTGTTTCATAGAGTTTCTTATCGGCCTTGGAAACTTCAAATTCAAAATAGGCGGTGGTATTTGCTTTGCCGCAGGTCTAGACGATGCAGACAAGTTGGCCATAATGTACGTCCTGCCAACGTTCGTCTTGGTGCTGGTCATGCTTTTAGCTAGAGCTGTAGGTAATCATCCTAACTGGTGGTTTAGCAAACGTGTTAGAGCCCCTCCTTTCCGAGCGTTTTGTACCATCTTTGTGCTCTGCTACACTGACATCACCAGAATCTCACTGCGAATCCTTAATTACGCAAAATTTGACTCCACCTTCGTGATGTACGCAAATGGTAACATTGGCTACTTCTCACAGAAACATATTGCCTACGGCATTTTAGCAATCCTTTATATTTTGATCGTGGTAATTCCATTTCCGATGATCCTCTTGTTTCGCAGCTACCTCACTCGTAAACTGCTCTTTGTGGTGAATCTCAATCGATGGAAGCCGATATTTGATGCTCTCCAGAGCTGCTTTAAAGACCAGTATCGTTGGTGTGCTGCTTTCTACTTTCTTTGCCGTTTCGTGCTACTGGCGATAAGCACTCTAGCGCCACCAGGAGCTGTAAAAAGAGCCATGTTGGAAACTGCCTGTGTCCTTATCCTCCTGATCTTTGCGTTCCTGAGGCCGTACAAGGAAGCTTCGGATGTCAAGGAGGAAGAAGAGAGCTACGAGTGGATAAATAAATCAGACGTGGCCTTACTGACAACTCTGTCGCTGATCGCCATTTTCAGTTCTGCTATCGATAGTAGGATGTCGATCAGGACCAGGAACGGTTTAAGAATATTTGTCAGGGTGTTGGCCTACATTCCTTTGCTGGTCCTTGGGATGGTTACGTACAGGACCGTGAGCAGATGGCGTCAAAAGAAGACCCTGAGAAATGAATTACAAGAACCAGAACTCTCCGTGACGGATGAGACAACTGAAACTGACAACCAACCTGCGTAAATCCCCCCCATGTTGAGTAGCAATGTGCGTGAGATGAACCCTTGAAACAAAAACGACAATTTTAAAACTTTTGACAGTTTGGACATGTGATAATCTTGATGTCGCGTTCCCGATGCCGCAGACACGTGGTGTTGTGCACCGGAGTTCGCCAGTATAACCACAGTGTTGAACTTTAGACAAGTAGCAGCATCAAACTCTTTATTCACTTCAGGTGGCAGTCTTTGTACAGCACAGGCGATAAAAACTATAGAACGGATACATGAAGGTTCGATAGAAGGAAAACCGAAAGAGTACGAAACTAGAAATGATAAAAATGAAGACTATTACAAGCGTAACTTACGTCGGATCTTGACTCCGGGGTAGAGACCTCCTAAACTCCGTTCGGCTCCGAAATGGTTTCGCCACAATGACTCCTCGCAAATGAACTACGTGCTAGTAGAAGGTGAATTTAGTTCTTACACTTTGACGTAGGGGAAATAGAAATGAACAATGCTTTGTGTAGCTAACTTCGAGCGGATATTCGCTAGTCACGGAATAGAAATCAAACAAAGCATGCTAACAAATTTAATAGAAAGTCATTGAAAGTTTCTTAGTGTCTTTGTGCTAAAAACTGAAGAGTTACATATTAAGTAAAAAAGATTAGAGTTCGTATCCGTAAACGTGACACTTGATATCTCTGACTGTTTTTCGCTCTGACGAAGCGCTAACGCTCGAAATGTCAGCTCTTTAACTCTTTACGGTGGCCAATTTACAATTTCAACTTAGTTGATATAACCAAATTATCTTGTTCTGGGCTGTACGACGTAGTATTTTTTTTCGTTGAACGATACCCTGCTGATCTGATAAAAGACCACACTGACTTCAAGTTGTCGAGTTAGGAATCAGTAATTGAGTCACTTAGTGTAAACTTTGGTCTTCCAAAGTTTTTAGATCGTCTCTCTTCGGTAAACGTTTTTCCATTTAGCGAACATTGTGATTTACGAAAAATATACTTTTAACAACGAACTAAATTGAGATTAAGCCGAATGAAATAGTTGTAAGCAATCTTTTTTGATCAAATGAATATCTTGCTACCAGAACTCTTTAATCCATTCTTTTAGATAATTCGATTTATTAAAAACTGGATAAGTCATAATGAAATTCAAGACTTTTTATTGGCTTAGCCATTATGGTATATGAGCCAATATACCATAATCTAATATTTGTACATTGTAACATCCGGTTTCTTCCTATAAAATAAAGCCGAGAAGATTTGTCTGATATCTTAGGGGCGTTTTTTTTTAATAAAACAAAAATTCCACTCGCGCTTGTTAGATATGAGATGATTATAGCCAACTCGGCGCTACGCGCCTCGATGGCTATCTATCATCTCATATCCAACGCGCGCTCGTGGAATAATTGTTAAAGATTCGCCGACTCATGATCGTCACATGTAACCTTTCTGACGTTTACTACGCAGATTTTAACAAAGGGCATCCATAACTCAATAGTGTGCACTGTGGCGTATACTGTTTTAGAACATAACATTGCTACACTGTAGCAAAAGACTTTTCTTTTCTTTTATTTCACAAATCTTACATGACCAGAAAAAACAAGCGCGCGCGGGAAGTTAGTCTTTGCATTTGCCCACGTCAGCAGCGTACACCCATGGGCAAAGGGTGGACGCTGAATTGACCAATCAGAGCGCGCGCTTTACTTTGGTTATGTTATAATTAAAGTTGTTTTCGAATATATTGCAATGAGCGATCAATAATTGTGTTTAGGTTTGATTAATTAAGTTAAGTTGAGTTCTGGATTGGCGTTGACTGTTGATCTAAGTACAACTCTGTCATCAAAAATTATTTAGAATTTTAAAGTAGCTCTTCGGTTTTTGAATGTATCTTGGAAAATAGGCGAAATAGTCGATTCACTCCACTCCCATAGACCAGCCTTCATTTTTATCACAGCCCCCCCTCCTTTTCAGAGTACCCCTTCTTAAAGTTCCCTCTTTCCACTTACCTACACATTCTCTGAGGTGGTTTACTAGGGGGATTTCTCATGTTCCATCGGTTTTTTTTTGTCCTCTCAAGGAGAGGGTGGAGGGGAGGGTGGGGCAAAGATTAGGTCTAATCATATCAAGAAACATTCTTTATCGCCAGTGGGAGGGGGGGAGATCGGAAGATTTGGTTATATGGCGGTAAATTTACCCTCGCCCTATTAGGCTATGTAGTATTCTGACCTATTTTTCCTCTTCCTCTCCCCCTCCCCCTGTCCCTTGTTATTGCGTATATGAAGAACTGTTTATCATCTCCGGCAAAAAAGTTTTATTCAAAATTTTACTGTTTTGATATCAGTGAAATCCAATAATGCGTAAACAGGACTCTCTTAAGACTTAAGGTGGTTTAATTCTTTAAGAATAACTTACAATACATTTCTATTGCCGACAGACCACGCAGCTGCTCTTATGTTACTTAGAGACTAATGTCATACGTATACGCGAACATTTTCCGACTTACAGTAATTCTTCATCTTGCAAAGAAATGGGGAAACTAATTTGCCTTGAGCCAACTTTAAAAAGTTGTCTTTCAGTTCCCTTTCAACTTCAGATGGCTTTTGATTTGCATTATAAAAAAACTCTGATATTCCACCTCTAAATGTCTTCATCGTTGAAGGGCCAGCTCCCACTGAAACACAAAAAAAAATGAAAACAACTTTTAGAAATTCGGCTTATTATAAAAAGCTTTTTGATATGAGCCTTGCTTTGAGATAACAGTAATTTTGTCTTTTGTCCATTTTCCAAAGCTATGTCTAGAATTAGCCGTTAGCTAAGTAATGAGATTTTTTATCTATTTACACATTACTTGAAGAAAAGCCAAAGGGTCAATGAAGTTAAATGAAGTGCGCTCTAAGCAACACCTTTTTAGCATTGGAATTTGGCCGTAAGAAGTCTGCACGCAAGGAGATTTTTCACTCAGTTGCCCGGTGAGAATTTTTCTAAGATACTTCTCAGCCATTACATGGACGACGAGCGGACACAAGCGCAAGAAAAGTACTAGGAGGGCGTGGGGGTCTGGAAACGCGTTGGTAGCGGAACGAGAAAAAAACAGGTGGAGGTTTTCCTCCTCTGGCTTGCCTGTGCCCAACTAAAATGGAAAAAGGCTGCGTAACTGCTTGCGGAACTTACTCGCACAATCTGGCCACGGTAGTTTTCCGCTCGTGTTGGGAAGATAAGCCAAAGGTAGCCATTCTCCACTAGCGGGACATGCGTATAAAACGGAAGGGTTAGTCACGAAATCGGTTCCATGTTTACAAGCAACTTGACAGAATATCTGCGAACCGTCATCGGCATGGTTCAAACAAACAAGAGCACCATTCTTCGGGGGAGGATACTTAGGACATTTTGCTCCTGAAAATAAAAAAGGATAACAAATTAAACAAAGGATTATATAAGGAGTCAGGAGTGCTTTCATTTTACTCTACAACGTTATGTTGCTGGTGGAGAAAACCCGCTCCACCTTCAGCCAATCTACCTAGAGTCAAACCTGTTTTAACTCCCATAAGTGATTAACTTGTAACTTCTCCCTAAAATTAACAAATGGTAAACACCACAGCGTACACTATTGAGTTTTGGATGCACGCGGGAGGTTGCTAAGTACGAAAGAAGCGCAAGAGTCGCGCGAGGCGATAGCCGAGAGCGATTCTAGCTTCTTGAGTGCTTAGCAAACCTCCCAAGTGCATCCATAACTCAATAGTGACACTGTAGCGTTTTCCATTTGTTTTATAACATAACATTGATTCATTGTAGCAAAATAATTTTCTTTTATTTAACAAATCTCACGTGACCAGAAAAAACAAGCGCGCGGAAAACTAGTCTTTGCATTTGCTCACGTTAGCGGCGTATACCCATGGGCAAATGGTGGATGCTGAATTGACCAATCAGAGCGCGCGCTTTACTTTGGTTATGTTAGAATTAAAAATTATTCCACGAGCGCGCGTTGGATATGAGATGATAGATAGCCAACGAGGCGCGTAGCGCCGAGTTGGCTATAATCATCAGTATAGGTTGAATTATCCAACAAACGGATAATGAGAACACTCTAGTTATCGGCCGCGGGTATAGGTTGTTTTCTTGACTCAACACTAAACTTCTCGTAACTAATGTACAAGGAAATGTGAAAGCAGCCAGAGGGGAGTATTAACAATCAGATCGTGGCAGTTCAAGGGTTAAGCGGTCACCCATGAGGGAAAGGCAGGGTGACCGCTGAATACAGTGCCGCTTAATGCAGGTTTGACTGTATGCATTATAAGCCTGCATCATACAGACCACCGGACAAATCAAACGCGAAGACGCGTTTTCTCGTGCTTTACGTAATTTCCCTTTTAGTTGTCATCAACTTTAGCACCCAATTGAAATGCACTTTCGCATGAAATGCAATCTTGACTTACTCTTTAAGGTTATCATAAAAGAGCATCCAGTGTAAATGTTTGGTTCTTTGAAGTCGAAATCCTTCACTGTGTACTGGATCTTATATTTTCCTGGAGCCCCAAAGATGTCTCCATTCTGTCGGTTAGACCGAATGATTGGAGGCAGGTGAGAATTGTCTGAACAGATTGGTAACTTCCAAGTCACTCTTTCTTTAAGACTGTTGGCTTCTTTCACAATGTCGCTCGGGCAGAAACTACAAGTCGGTGGTTCTAGATCTGAAAGAGAAACCGATCTTAACACATAATCAACCTCGTTCCCAGGGCACTATTCTCTCGCGTAGTATATACTAATGATGATTAGAATGATAATTCTGGAATAATCTATATACAGGGTGTGTTTGTAACATGCGTGATTTTCAAATCAGCTGCGAAAGTAAACGAAAGAGCAGTGGGAGTTACAGTCAAACTAAGTGAAGCTTCCCCCCCCAGATTACATCAATGAATTGATCATTTGGATATTGAACCCGCCAGTCGTTTCAAGAATGCAATAATAAATTGATTATTGAACCCGCTAGCCGTTTCACTAATGCAATAATGAATTAATTATTGAATATTGAACCCGATAGCCGTATCCGTTTTGAAAAGGCGCGGATCATTGTTCAAATTAGAAGTCCATTTTTGAATTCCAATAAGATTGTTCTATTTGACGAGGAATCCTGAAAATGAACAAACTGCACTGTAAAAACACTGCGAAAACAGTCGATCGCAAATATCAACGAAATAAAAAAAATCTTACGATGGCTTCGCCCGTAAACTATTTTTTTCGACCATGAATACACACAAGAGTTTCTAAAAGTTCGTCCAGATGTAAATATGCGAAAAAAGCTCTCGATAACATTTTATTTACAACATTTACAAGAAGTTCTACATAACACTCGAACTCACCTTTCCCCCCGTGTCTAACGCCATGTTGAAATAGTTCCGATCCATCATCATTTGTTCGCATAATCAATTCAGAAATGAACTTTTGATTTGAACAATGATCCGCGCCTTTTCAAAACGAATACGGCTATCGGGTTCAATATTCAAATAATCAATCCATTATTGCATTCTTGAAACGGTTAACGGGTTCCATGTTCAAATGGTCAATTCGTTATTGCGCTCCTGAAACGGTTATCGGGTTCAATATTCAAATAATCAAATCATTAATGTAATCCTGAGGGGTACGCTTCACTTAGTTTGACTGTAATCTATTTCACAGTTTAACAAAAAATGCTGGAGAGGTTACTGAAAAATGCCGTCGATTAAAAGTATGATGTGACTACCATGTTACCAGAAATTCCGTAAAATTCAAATGAATTACCTCTGACAATGACTAGAAACCAGCATTCTGCTTTGTTTCCTCTGTTGTCAGCGGCAGTGGTTTGAACGTAATGTCGACCAATCGTAAAGTTATGAGGAGACACGTGACTGGAGTGAACTGTGACTTTGGCTTCAGGATCAACCGGAATTGAATTGTCGTCGACCTCTATTTTCCAGGACACCACCTCTGAAGGTCTACCCGGCTTAGCAATAACTGTTATGTCACTAGGACAGTTCATATCTGGACGACGTATATCTAAATAACAGAGGAGTCCAGTTACGAAAACATCCTGGACCACATTACAGTGGTTAAGCGTTAGGCATGAGCAAATGAGTCAATATTAACCAGCGACCTGCCAATTTCCCGCGCAAAATTTGCAAGGGAAATGACGATAAACAAAGAGTGTCATGTATAGTTAAAAAGAAAAATTGAAACTATCATACACATATATTCAAGGAACAGCCAAAAAGCAGAGAGGGGTTAATCATCGTAATAACCTCACATTCGATTAATAACTAGTTAATAATCATTCTTTTACGCTTTCTTAGACGAAAACATCATGACAAATGCCTCACCTTAATACTTTGCATCACCAATTTGGATCAATGTAACTGCACACCCACCCCTCCCTAACCCGACAACAGTCCACTGATAACAAGTTAGGGTTAAGGTTGGTTTAGGGTAGGGGTAGGTGCGTCGCTGCCCAGATACTGAGATTTGATCCACCGATTTTTTCATTTCACCTTCAGGTTTCTAATTTACATTTTTTCTACGAACAAGTGACTGCGATCAACTTCCTCAGTAACGATACCAATCCTATTTTTAATAGAAAAACAAAGCGGGCTCTAATTCCTTCTCTTAAGGTTATCATTGTGTGTAACTTACCCACACATTTGTGGGCTTTTCCACTCCAAGTTCCATTAGGTTGGCATACGAACTGGAAAGATACAGAGTCTCGATCTTGTTCTAAAGCGTACCCATATACGCAACCAAAATTGCAGGTTTCATTGACGTATGATGAGTGTTTTGTACACCAATCGAAAGTGGGCCGGGTGAACTGGAAGGAAGGTAACTTGGGGCAATCACCTCTGACTGGAAATTCACGAATTTGATGAGGTATAAGAGACCAGTTATTATTCATTGCCTGATAACCTAGTGATAGACTGGAAAACTAGAGTTAAGTATGCAGATAATTTGTCAGTCTTTGAGATTCTTCCTGGATGTTCAACCAGTAAGTTGCCCTTTGTAGCGAGGGATATTTGTTTATATGCTTGTAGTCATGGTATGAAGCTAAACCCATCCAAATGTAAAGAACTACGCATAGATTTCTTACAGTATATGCCCTCGGATCTACCCCCCTTACAGATGTCAGGCAGTGTTATTGAGCCGAGTGTCATCTTATAAGTTACTCGTGTCCATCCGTAACACAATTTGTCAAGGTCTATTCACTGCGACTATATTGGGAAGAAAGGCTGATAGTTTCGAAAGAAACTGTTTGGGGCTGCGTCGGTGGGAGTAACGAAATAATTTGGATATATCAACAAAGTTGAAATGGTAAATTGGCCACCGTAATGATTACAAAAGCTGACGTTTCGAGCGTTAGCCCTTCGCTCCGACGAAGGGCTAACGCTCGAAACGTCAGCTTTTGTAATCATTACGGTGGCCAATTTACCATTTCAACTTTGTTGATATATCCAAATTATTTCGTTACTCCCACCGACGCAGCCCCAAACAGTTTCTTTCGAAACTATCAGCCTTTATTCAATTTTTTT